GTGTGTGTGTTTGTCTGTGTATGTGTGTGTGTGTGTGTGTGCGTGTGTGTGTGTGTGTGTGTGTGTGTGTGTGTGTATCTACAGTAGAGCTCAATGTTTTTCTTCTCTTTTGTCTTTTTCCCCTCCGTCACTCATTGTCCTCCCTGTGTCCATTTCCTCTGATCATGTGTGTGTGTGTGTGTGTGTGTGTGTGTGTGGGTGTGTGCCTAACTCCTTACATGTATGTGTATACACATGCGTGTTTTTTGTGTGTGATGGACATTTCTTCTCCATGTGTGTGTGTGTGCATCTCCTATACATGTGCGCGTGTCGGTGTGTGTGTGTGTGTGCGCATCTCTCCTATACATGCATGTGTATGTGTGTGTGTGTGCATTTCCTATACATGTGTGTGTGTGTGTGTGTGTGTGCGGTCAGACCCGTCAGACCCGTCTGATGACGATCTGTTCCATCTGTTTGATAACGTTGCGACCGCGGCCCCAGACTCGTCCTCCGCGCCCATGATTCCCCCTGTAGGTGTGCAGGCGGTGGCGCTGACCTCAGACTCGGTGCGCGTCTCCTGGGCCGACAACTCCATTCCCAAGAACCAGAAGAGCTCCGAGGTGCGCTACTACTCCGTCAAGTGGAGGACCAGCCACTCCACCAGCGGCAAACACAAGGTCAGACACACACACACACACACACACACACACATACACACACACACACACACACACACACACACACACACACACACACACACACACACACACACACACACACATGTAACGGAGGCCAGCTAGTGTGTGCTGTGCAGGTAAACCTCACTCTTCTGACCTATAAAGGTGCTCTAGCGACGGACTCTAGAGGTCATGGTCTTTAGCCTCCTTGTTAGAGCAATCGACTCCCATGCGGAAGGTCGCCGGTTCGAAACCAGCTCAGAGCGGGCTGGGTGGTGTCACCGACAGGACTGACAGGGTTACACACACACTCTACATCAGATTCATATGCTACTTTCTTTCTGTTTTGCCTTAAAGCTGCTGTGTAGTGCACTGATTCAATATAATGTTTAGCTTGTTAATATCTACATAATATAAGTGTGGTCATTTATAACCTCACAACTGAACCACTAGAGCGAAAAGTTCAGTTTTGACCATATTTGGAATGGTCATGAAT